GCTCAAAATGACTGTAATTTGTAATTTAGATTCCCATTTATACATGTAACAAAAATTGGTATGCATTTTTGAATGCGAATTCCTTAAGGGGATAAAAGTTCAATTAAAGTGTATTAAAGTGGGAAATTTTGTCCAAAATTCAGGTATATGTGAAAGAAATATTAATTAAAAACTAACATTTATGCAATTTACTAACTGATACTAAGTTGTGTTTGCAGTGCATTTTTAATAAAAATAAAGCAAAAATAACAAGAAACAGAAAAAAATTAAGTCTCATGAAGCATTTTGAAAAAATTTTAAAAATTAAAAAAAAAAAAAAAAAAAAAATATTTGAAAAAAAAAATTGCTATGATCCAGAAATTTTTTTCAAAGATATTTGATATAATTATAGTAAAATATACATGCATGCAAAATTTCATAATTCTATGACAATAATTAAAAAAAAAGTATTTGAACGTCCACTGTCCCCTTAAATACTGGGAACATATTGTTACAATAATGTTTGTTTTATAACATTGGTGCACGTACATAAACATTCCACACTAATAATTAAACATTTTACTCTTGGTTACAGACCAGTTCTACAATAATACGTACATACATATATATATATATAAACACATAAGTTACCCCATATATATATATATATATAAACACATAAGTTACCCCCTGGTGCATTTTACATATATATTGGAGTGGATACGTTAGTTACTTCAGAGTGTTCATGTACTGGATTCCATCATACACACACTAAATAGCACACCAACATGCCTCACAAGAGCACTAGTACCACACAACTAAATATTCAGGAATAAGATAGTACTGAAAACTGGACAAGAATCTGTATTGCATTAGGTGACATGACAAAAGTTCTGTCCGTAAGCCTACAGATTTTGAATTTATGTCCACCTACAATGAATTTATGTCCACTTACTAAAGTGTCTGGTTAATGTAAAGTTGATGACGACGTAGTTCTTATACATGGCGACTGTTTCCCTTGGAATTTGTGAACAATAGGTAAGATAATAGAAACTTATCCTGACAGAGATGGTAAATTTCGCTTCTGCTTCATAAAAACTCAAACATGTAATCAAAAGAGACCACTGCAATTGTATAATGATCAGTTTTTGTTGTTTTGCATATATGTAATTTTCTGAGCATCATTATTGATTGTTGCTAAATATAATTTTTAGATTGCATGATTATTGTGAATTTTGATTTGGTATAATTGATTCGTGTTTCTTATTTAGGAAATACATTATATATTGACTTAATGTGTTTAAACATTACTTGATTGTTATTTGCAATTTGATGTTGCTTAAATAGCATTTAAATGTTGTATTGATTTAGTAATCTTGGTTTATTATGTATTCGGTTTGTGTGAATTTAAGAGTTCACAGGGGGAGAATGTTGAAAAGAGAGAATGTAGAGGGAGCTGAACTGAATACATGTAAGTAAGTGAATACTTTAGTAAGGTAGAAACGAAGTATCGGTTGTAAATGCAGCATAATTTCTGTGAGGGTTGGTCCGCCTAATAATAGGACAAATGTAAATATGTATATAAACGGCATAATAAATGGTAAATGAAAATAAACCACTAGATGCTTTGTGTCCCTGTACGAGCCGCCATTGTTTAATCCTTTGCGGCACAGTGTGTCCGGTTTGGACACTCGTAAAAATTTCCTTCTGTTCGCATAGAAAAATTGAATGAAATTATAGGTTACTATAGGAATTTATAGGTTACTATAGGTTACTCTGAACCTTCTTTATTTATAGTAGATGACAGCTCAACACAAACCAGTCCATATATTTTAGCCATGTTTAGTTTTTTAAGACCCTCATTTTTCAAAGAAATCTTCCAGATTTTTTTAGGGTATTAAAGGAATTGTTTGAAAAGAAATTTCTATGTTATTTTTTTGGCTGTATGCTAATCTCCTTATTCTATACTAGTTTAAAATTTTGACCTTGAAATCTTGCCTAAAATCAAACGGCGAACCCTAGGTGTGCCCAGACCGGCCTCACCGATAATTTAGGACAACTGAGAGTCTGTATTCTTTGTTTTTCGGCATCTCATCGGTCAGTTCTTTGACAACAATGCTCGTTTCAGCATTCTTTTCGAAGCTCTATTCAATCAGCGTGCCCACTTTTGGTACACCCACAGAATTAAAACGACAAGTGCTATCTTCCCAAAATTTTACTTGTGGCTCTAGGCTTAATTAGACTATGCTAGGCTACTCTAGGCTTAATTAGACTGCCTACCATTTTTTTTTGATCAAAACTCCAACTTTAAAAGGTAGCGCGCCGGAAAGAGTTAATGCAGGTTTTTTTATATTGTGCTTTATACATGCGATTGATATTTTAAGTAGCTGAATGATACTGCATCTCATTCAGCTGCTACAAAAACTACATGTACATAAGCGATATAATAAATGGTAAATGAAAATGAACCACCGGATGCTTTGGCCTGTACAGGCTGCCATGGTTTAATGCAGTTTTTTTATATTCCTCCTCTCTCTCTCTCTTTCTGTTTTGGGTTAGCTGTACCACGCATTCTATTGGAAACGCAGTAGGAAAATTTTTGGGTATTCCTTTTTCTACGCACTGGCTTATATAGCTTAACCTTTTCCCTGATTCGCCCGAACTAACTCGGGAGGAGAAAACCATGACGCAGTGATTCACCCGAGTATACTGGGCGTCCTCAATAAAATCGTCCCTTTCTTCTTTGAATCTTTGCGACGCTTTAGAAGTTATTTCGGTGCCGACACCGCAGGGTTGCGATTTAACGCAATAGGCTTCCTACTTCGCAGAGTGAGAAATGCAGTGTCAGGCAGGGAAACTAACTACATTTGAAGCGGATGACAAAAATTTTCAAACCGATTTTACCGTCACTGCTTACCACTGCAGAAAGAAATTCATTTCGTTGAGCTACCATTTAAGCAGTTAATGGTTAATCCAACCCTGGTCTCTTGTTTATACGATGGAACATACTGTTACATTAAACGGAATGTACAGAAAGACATCTTGTCAATATGTTAAACTGTTAGACTGACCTCTTTGCAAAAGTAATTTTAAATGAACTTTTTAAATGAACGATCCTTAAAAATTCACAATCAGTAAAGAATTTAAAGTGTAAAAGTATTTAGAAAACCTTTCTCTAAGGTGCATATTAGAATTTTTGATTCTAATTAAATTTATATCCACATTAAAAAAAATAAATTCCGCTTTAGAATAGAATCTAGTAAATCAGAGAAGTCCCCTAAATATATTTTTGCCATTTAATTATTGGTAAGAGAAACAACTTTGGGTACTGGACTTTTGTAGCGGCATTGGTAAGAGAAATTTCGGCTAAGATAGTGCGATTTGGTGCCAAATGCTGTAAAACATGCACGCGAACAAAACTGTCAAGTGTAAACGTTAAATCGCAAGTTATTTAATATATACATATGTTACCGGAAAAGTATGAAAGTCGATATTACATAGAATACCTAGGCATTTTATAACACACTTAAAACTGGCCGAAAATGTATGAAACGTGCCATGTATGAAATGTATGAATGTGAAAATTCATACATTTCCGTGAAAATGTATGAAACGTGCCAATACCTTTCCTTGGCATAGATTATATATTTATTACGATATTTAATGCAAGTTTATTCGCAGTTTATTTAAAGTAGCGACTGAATTTAATAGAACTTAGGTAAACATTAATTATCGTAAAATAAATATTAATGAGTAATAAGAAAACATTCATTGTCGTATTCAGCAAATTATGTAAAGGATTTATTTAAAAATAACAACATACATAAAAATCTCGAAAACTCTATTTATTAATAAATAACTTAATTCTATTTGTTTAAAATAGAATCAAATAAATAGAATTTTCGTCAATTTTAGGCATGTTTTGTGGTAACAAAATTCAACAGAATTGAAATATAAACATAAATTATTTCAAGACAATCATTAATTAATAATGAGATAAACATAAGCTATCGTATTAAGTACAACTGTGTGAGCGATTTATTTAAAATAACAACATATATAAACATGCTGAAAATTTTATTTAATTAAATATAATTAAATAAATAAATTTTGGCATGTTTTGTCGCAATTAATTTAAAATAACAAAATTTAAACAGAAGTTATATACAAGCATAATTATCGTATTCGGTACAATTATGTAAGTAATTTATTCATAATAATATAATAATATATATATATATATATATATGGCAAAATTCTATTTATTATAAAACAAACCAGAAGATTCTATATATTATTTTAATTAAGACAGCAATTTATTGAAAAACAGCATACATAAGTAAACATATTTATGTATATTTGATTTATGCATAATATACCAGAAAATTCATTTTAGACAGACTCTTTCTGGTGGCCGCAGTTTAGTAGGTGCTACTAATTATGGCTCAAACATCAGCTATCGCTTTTCTGCATTGGTGGAAGATTAAAAAACAGCAAGCATTATACTTTTCGATGAGAAACATTTACACAAAGCGATTACAAAAACTAGCTAGATCCTTAACGTTTCTTTCTCGCATATGCCTAGATCGGAAGTTTTCGCCAAAAACAGGCCAAATACAATTTCTTGCCAAGGCCGCTGCAGAAGATAAGCACCTGTTATGACTATAATGTTTCTCCTTTTCAGTTAGTATAAACGCAAACACTATTCTTTGGATCTAAGTATTAAGTATTTAGAGACACTCTTGAATTTAACGTCAGATTTTGTTAATCTTTAAACTAAAGTTTCAACCATTTAAGAATCAAAATAATCTTCTTTTCTTTTGATTACATATATTTTTCGTTCTTTAGTTAACACTAAACATATTCCTAAAAATTCAGTAAGAAGTTTTGTATTTCCGTGATGCAAATTTGAAGCTCAGACTAGAGACAGAATTATGAAAAATTACGTACATAAGATAATGCCATTATGAAACTTATAAACGGAATGCTAGTGCCGAGATTATTAAAATAATACACGTTACCCCATTTTCTTCTCTGCCCGGTTGTAGGCCAGCAGCAGCCATGTATGTACTACCAATTGTCTTGATCTTCTCGATGCGGCTGAATTTTGGCTTCAACAGCAACTGAAAAGGAAGGAAGAAAATAACGGAAAATAAAGTTAATAAAAGCAATATATACTTGAAATACGGAATTTTCTCGTGTATTTTTGTCCCTGGCTCTTTAGCGTTAGGTTCTAAAAATTTGTAAAATATTCACATCATTTCCCCCTTCCTCTATGGTACATAGTTTGAACTGTAAAGCTTACTTTTACAGGTAAATTTTGTTACCTTGATTACTTTTATTTTTATTCAATTTGTATTTGGATTTTTCTTTTATACTTTCTATCCTAGCATTGAATATTTGAAATGGATTTTGTGCAGATACTTCGTTAATCTACCCGGATGCGGCAGGTGTTCTCCCACTTAAGAAACTTTCCAAACATGTGATTTAAACTTGCTGCTGTTACTTACATTCCAGCTCATTTCAGTCTTATCTGATGTTTTAGTCTTACTGCGAAAGAGTTCGATAGTTCGAAATTAGAAGCTTTTATTCTTTCCCAGGCCTTTCGTTTCCCCGATGTTCCTCTTCGGAACTGCGCTTAAGATTCATTCATGTGAGGGTGCCTCTGGGGCTTTACAAGTAGCTGAGCGGGACACGTCATGCTCAGATAACTGTCAGATATCAATTCCATGTTTGTCGATATCATAATGTTAATATTATTACGTATTCTTAGAGAAATACAGGTTACTTTTAAAGAAATAATATCGTTACATCTATCTGAAGTTCATCCATGACTACTTTCCTTTCTTATATTTTTATTGTAACTGCGTTCTTCGGAAACCAAATGACTCGCATAATTTTATCCTCTCAAGTTTCGGACAATAAAATAATTTAAAGAGGGTGGAATACGCGAGGAAATACGAAAGAGGTAAGAGTTAGACGATTAAAATGAAACATCAGCATCATAGGGGAGAATATTACTTTATAGGTACAAGGTAGGCCTTCTTCTGGAAACCAGTTGTGCAGCACTTCATCTTGGAAGTGACCGATACAAGCATTGTAGAATGATTATAACCATTTATCTTCATGATAATACAGAGAAAGAAAACTTTTTGCAAATTCGCAGGCCTATAATCGGAGACTTGCGAGCTCCGGATCAGCAGATAAAAAATAGGGCCGCCTCTTTAATGTTTCTCCATTTTTTCAATGCCGCGTTGCCATTATTGCATAAACAGTGGCCCACAAAAGTGATCGGACACATTGAATTCTTGTATTCTTTAATGAACATAAAAACTAAAGTAAATTAAAACAAGAAAAGAGGCTGTTATTTTGATCATGTATAAATTCAACATTTTTTATAGCAAATACATTTTCGAAAAGATGAAAATTAAATTAAAAAAATCGATATGATTGTTTTATGAGGCAAAATATTCTCACAAACATAATTGGGCCCTTTTAGTAACATCCAAAAATGACAAAAACTTAACATTGCTTTTGCTTCTTAATATCTTGGGGGATTACCTTTACACTAGATCACTTCATTTAATTTTTTGAGCATCGACTCCAAAAGTATTTTTGTTATTATTGAACTTATTTTATGCTACGTCTCTTAAATCACTGCTTTCTTTTGCTGTAGCAAAGCTATGCTCTGATTTCGAATTTTAGATTCTAGAGTTCCTGCCAAATGCGTTCAATAGGATTGAGATCTGGCGATTGGGATGATGCCTTAATTACTTCTGGATACTTATATAACAGCCAGAGTCTAACATTGTGCGCAGTATGCTTTGGATCATTGTCCTGGTAGATTTAAAACTATTTTGTATATTAAGTTTTTGGGCTGACGATGCTAAATTTCGCTTCAAGATGTAAAGGTACTTATACTGATCCATAACACCATCTATAAACTCTACATTATCAGCACCGGAATATGAATCCCCATACCATAACTTCTCCTCCGCCATGTTTAAATTTTGGGACTAAGTTTTGCTTCCGAAACTCTACTGTGGGTTTTCTCCAAACCAGCACTCGTCCATCTGAGTCAAAGATGTAAAATTTGCTTTCATCAGAAAGCAACACTTTTTTTTCCAGTAATCTGGTATCGATTTTGAAAAAAAAAAAAAAAAAGAGTCGAAGCTTTCAGTTTTTTTTCTTTACTGACATAAAAGTTTTGTCTTGCTACTCGCCCATGATATCCTGCAGAGCGCATTACTCTTTTTACAGTTTTTGAATTTACACGTATTTCATATAATTCACGAAGTTCTGCAGCAAGTTAAGGAACACTCAATCTTGGATTCTTTTTATATTACTTAGAATAAAGCGTTTCATTCCATAAGATAACTCAGATGGTCTTCCAGGTCTTCCTTTGTTTTGAATACGATTCTATTTCTTATAACGCTTAATAATCACAAACTGTAGAATTACTTAAATTAAGTTAATAGGCAATTTTTCTAATAGATTTCCCTTTCTTTTTATGCAAATCAATAAGTAATCTGCGGCTTTCTAACGATGTTTCCTTTCGTAACCAAGCCATTGCAACAAAAATTAAAATAACGTATATTTTCTAAAAAGAAAATTCTAAGTATAAAAGAAAACGATTTTTAGATTTTTGCCTAGTTTATTTATCCAAAATAATTCCGTAAAATTTCCTTTTTCATTTATTGCATACGATTTTAATTAGAAATTATGAAAATGTGCGATTAATTTTGTGGTATCTTCTTTTTTTTTTTTTTTTTTTTTCAATTTCAAACCTAAACGCTATTTTTAAATTTACTGTTTAATCCTTTCAAATTTATTTAGTACAAAGAGAGAGCTAAGAAAATCTGTATTCAAAGGGAAAATATTCTTTATTATTTTATGTCAGAGCTTTTCTCTTAATCTATTACTTAAAAAAATAAAAAATATATAGTGGCCGATCATTTTTGTGAGAATACTGTGTATCTTTCCAACCTATTCCTGCAAAGCCCCTGAGACTTCACCTATAGATTATTGTGCCTTTGGTCTCTTGAAAAGAGCACTTTCTAAGCTCAAAACCCACCACTAGAGATGGTATCTGGAAAGTAGAGGAAGATGAATGGAAGTTTTACAAAATGCCCTGCTGGCCATGGAAGTCACGATGCAGAATTATAGTTCAGAATAAAGGGGCATCAGATCGAACCTTTAAAAAAATATACATAACTCTTGTTGTCTATGCATATGTTGCACTTAAACTGTTAAATTTATAAATTTCATAAAAGTAAAGGTTTGTGTTGAAACCAGGTCTAGGTAGGCTGGCTGATAATTTTCTTTTGTATATTTTAATTTAATCATTTGCAGTTGGCGAAGAAGAATAAACATAAAGTGTTTTAATTGTGTGCCTATTTGTTTGATGGTTAGTTAGTGTGGTGGGGGTAATTTACTGTATAAACCAGACTTAACACTTTTTATGATCAATGGCATTACAAAGTTAGTTGGAATACACGACAGATATTATAAGATTATTTATTATGATGTAAAGATTAGACGTAGAATATTACACATGTAGAATTTGTAGTTAATTCTTCCTAAATGTGATATCAGTCTTTATATCAAATCATAGAGAATCTATTTGTATCTATGTTTGTACGTTCCTCGCACTGCGAAAAAGTGGTGACACCCAAAGCTACCGAATTTCGAACACACATAGTCCTTCACTCAAACAAACGACAACACATCGTTTTTAAATAATAGAGTTTGTTGATTAACTTTTGTTGCGTAGGAGATAAAAGTGCTTTGTTTCGAAAAGGCTGGCTTACGACCAGCACTGGTGGTAAAGAGGCCGCACTGGTGGTAAAGCGCCACTAGTGGCCAAGCGGTAAAATCTCTGAATACTGGTAGTTCTGTCCTGGATTCGATTAAAGGTGAACGGGCTAGCTGCAAGAGTGGTTTTGTGGCTTTATTCATGTGTAACGTTATAAGGTATTTCTCCCGCCTTCTTGGCATGCCTTTGTGCTCCGGTGGTCTGCACGCTGGGCGCGTATTCCAGAGGTCCGTGGTTCGATTCCCGGCGAAGGCGTTGCATATTTTTCATCTTTCCCGCCTCGAAATAACCTAATGTTTCTACAACGTGTATATGAACCAGTTTACCTTTCAACTATCCCTTTCCTTAGGCAGATAGCCCTAGGGTGCTATTCCATAATCACTAAACCAAACAAAAAAGTCAATAACAAAGCAAACGACTGAAAAGCAAAGAAAATATTAAGCGTTTTAGGAAATTATACTATACCATTAAAAGCATAACCTTGTTTTTTCCTCCGTTTTATGATAATTATTTTAGGAACTGTTCGTGCAAACGGCTGGTTGATCAATAAGAATAACTGAGTTAATGAACTGACTTTCATTATTATAACTGTATCACTTTTGTTGATATTAGTCTTATCAATATCACACTTTGATATAATTACTGAAATTCCTCACGTATTTTCCGCTCCTTATTTGATTAATTTTATCGTTCGAAAATAGATAGGGAAAAATGATGCAATAACATTAAAAACGAAAAGTAGTCAAGTGTAAATTATATGTAACTATAGCAATATTATTTCATTAAAAGAAATATGTATTCCAGTAATAATACGTAACAATATTAACATTACAATATTTAATAAGACATCATTTCTAATAACTCTTGTTCATGAATCATGTACCTTTTTATGTAAATGACAGAATTAAAGGGAATTATGTTAATATTTTTAATACTGTAATTCTTTG